TCCGAGGCAGTTCCTCTCACCCCCAAATAGATGTGGTTGCGATAGTGACAGCACCGGGTTCTCTGGTGCCTAGGACGAGATCGAGAAGGACAGTGCCGGAAGACATACGAAACAAGCCAAAGTACTGGCTTTTTTCCTTTGGGCGCCAAGCCTTTTTCCCTGGATCGGAAAATTGGGGAAGACATTCACGTACATTCATGACAACAGCCGCGTGTCACAACATTTTTAGATTAGGCTCTCAAACTTTATGATCTGCAGCCGCATGAAAGGTACTGTCGATGTTTTCCTTTTTGTGATGAATGTTTCATAATATTTCACATTAGGTTCTTGGAGAACCGTGGAATAGGAGACTTGTTCCAAACAGATCAGCGAAGTTTTGCAATTTTCGCGGTTTTGCGCTTCAACTGACTCTGGTGCAGCCGCAAAGCATACCAACTCCGTGCCCCCTGATCTTTCTTCGTTTCAAATCACGATGGCTTCTCAAGGTGCCTGACAATGGCCTGGGGTAAGGGTTCGGCATGGTTCGGCTTCATTTGCAATTTTTTCCCATTCTTCTCCACAGTCCAAGATGTCCAAGCAGGTTTGTTCATTCTGTCATCCCATCCGTTTTCACTAGCGTCCTTCGTTCTGTTCATCTTCCTTTTTTTTTCAGGTCTTGCTTCCTTTCTGCAGTAAAGTGCCAAACAAATTGCCTGCAGTAGCAGCTGTCAGCTATCCTTTGGTGTTGACTGATGTAACTTTCGATAGTATGCTTGCCGTGGGCTGTGTGACCCGTGCTTTCAGTGAACAATGCACCCAAGAGGGTGATGTACAGTAGTTCTACAAGCTAGTAACAACATTTGACAAATTTTACATCCACTGCCGCCCTTGATTTTGCCACCGACAGACTGGCTTTTCCCTGCAATAAATCCTACAGCATCAAAGTGCAGTCTGATGCTAGGTCAAAGAGACTGCTGTTCGAACCAACCACTTGACATCACTTGATATCCCTGACTTGGTTTTTGTGCGTATTTGTTTGATTTCATATTATCGCATGTTATTATTTTGATATATTTTGATGCTTTTCTGAAGAAGTTCTGGCATGCTTCTGAGGCAGGAAAGTGCGCACCACCGCAGATGCGCCCATGCCTCCTGATGAGGCTCTGAAGCTCTTGAAGGAGGGCAACGCACGCTTCATCAAGGGAGAGCCTACCGCAACTCGAACCAACGAGAAAATGCGCCAGGAGCTTGTTGACATGGGACAGGCACCACACACTGCCATCATTGGCTGTGCAGATTCCCGGGCACCTTTGGAGACCATCTTTGATGCCCTGCCTGGTGACATCTTTGTGCTGCGCAATGCTGGCAACACCTGCACCCACGCCGAGGGCAGCATGGTTGGCAGCTTGGAGTTCTGCACCGGCAAGCTGGGTGCCCGCATGATTTTGGTGCTTGGCCACACCAAGTGCGGTGCCGTCTATGGTGCCACGAACGCCTACCTGGCGGCAAAGAAGTCTGAGACCGCCAGTGTTGAGTCTGCCCTGGAGGGTCTGCTGTTGGACTTGGCCCCAGTGGCGGAGAAGGCCGTGGCCGACATGGGTTCCCACACTGATGCAGATGAGGTCGCAGCCCACGCTGTGCGCGTGAACGTCTTCCACACTATCGACTTCTTGCTGAAGTACAGCGCCCCATTGCGGGAGAAGGTTAAGAGTGGACAGGTCGAGATCCAGGGTGGCATCTATCACCTGGACTCTGGAAAGGTGGAGTTCATGGGACGTTCTCCACAGCAGTCCACCCTTTTGAGCACCAACCTTGGGCTTCCCCCATCCATGACTCGTGAGGGTGGCCGCACCTCTGGCTATGGCCCTTCCGCACGAGGTGAGCATGGAGTGCGCACCACAGTGGACAGTGCAGTTCCTGCTGAGGAAGCTTTGAAGATGCTGAAGGCTGGCAACGAGCGCTTCGCTGTGGGTGCTCCTTTGGCCAAGCACGCCACTCTCAAGATGCGTGAAGCTTTGGTGAGCCATGGGCAGGCACCCCACACCGCAATCCTTGGCTGCGCAGATTCCCGTGTGCCAGTTGACACTGTGTTCGATGCCATGCCAGGTGACTTGTTTGTCTTGAGGAATGCAGGCAACACTTGCACCCATGCGGAAGGCAGCATGGTTGGCAGCTTGGAGTTCTGCTGTGGCAAGTTGGGCTCCAAGTTGATTTTGGTGATGGGCCACACCAAGTGCGGAGCCATTGCCGGAGCTACTGCGACCTACCTTGCCAGCAAGGAAGGCAAGGCCTCCAAGAGTGCAGGCAGTGCACTTGAGGGTCTGCTGGTGGGTTTGTCTGGTGTCGCAAAGCAGGCCGAAGAGGAGCTTGGTGTTGGCGCCGATCAGGACCAGTTGGTGTCCCACTCTGTGCGCGTGAACGTCTTTAGCTCCATCGAGTTCTTGTTGAAGTACAGCCCATCTCTGAGGGAGCTTGTGAAGAGCGGCAACGTGGAAATCCAGGGAGGTATCTACCATTTGGAGACTGGTCGAGTTGAATTCATTGGCCGCTCCCCCAGGCAGGCTGAATTGCTCCGCTCCGACCCAAGCTTGCCACCATCCCTCCAGGCATTGCCCATCCGCACAACAACTGATGGCCCCTTGCCATCCCAAGAGGCATTGAAGCTGCTGAAGGAGGGCAATGCTCGCTTCACCTCTGGTGCTGCAATTTCAGGAAAGATCACTCCAGCAATGAGGAAGGCCCTGGTCAAAGAGGGTCAGGCACCACACACTGCCATCATTGGCTGTGCGGATTCCCGTGCTCCTTTGGAGACTGTGTTTGATGCCATGCCTGGTGACATCTTCGTGCTGCGCAATGCTGGCAACACCTGCACCCACGCCGAAGGCAGCGTACTTGGCAGCTTGGAGTTCTGCGTTGCCGCCCTGCAGTCCAAGATGGTCTTGGTGCTCGGACACACAGCCTGCGGAGCCATCAAGGGTGCCACAGCAACATACCTGCAGTCCAAGACTGGCAACAAGCCTCAGGCGGGAATAAATCAACCTTACCCAAAGAGATTCAATACCATACCACAGTGTACCACAGCTTTGTAGGGACTGTGTAATTAGGCAAAGTCATGCTTGAGTTTCTTCTCAATGTGGACGCTTGGGAAAAGCTTTGCTCTCTCTCTCTCTCTCTCATGCAGTTGATGTCGGATATGTCGGCAATGATGTCCTCCCTTGACAGTCGACTGATCCAAAGGAAGAATGTAAAGGGCAAAGACAATCAAAGAGATGCAAAGAGAGAAAGAAATATTTGAGCCAAAAGATGCTACTGGTAAGTACTCGTAAGTGTCTTCCGCTGAATCCTAGGCACGAACTTCGCACGCTGCCAGGTCACCAAAGCCTTGGATGCCTTGCTGGTTGGCCTCAGCGACGTGGCAAAGAAGGCGTCTGAGGAGTTGGGTGAAGGCGCAACGGAGGCGCAGATCGTGGACAGGACCATCAAGCTGTTTCTTGGCATACAGCCCCTAGTAGGCAGGGGCTTGGGACCTGAACCCCTCAAATTGTTGCAGAATATGGAAACAATCTATCCATCTTTATCCAACCAATCTCCAGAATCAGGACGTTTTTTGATATTTTCAGTATTTTCGTAGGATCCAGGACCTTCTGCATCATCAACTCTGCTGCAAGGAACGTCTTCCACACCATTGACTTCCTTTTGAAGTACAGCCCACTCGTTCGAGAGAAGGCTTGGTGGATTTGTGCGCGGATGTTGGGTCATCAGCTTTGGTTGAGAGTCTCCAGATGCTTCATGTCATACTTGACATTGGGATGATCTTATTTACATTTATTTACAGTAATGCTGAATGCTATGGTGATCTGCAAGTGTGGACATTTACATTCCTATTTGCCAACAAGTTGGGGAACCATTCCTATTTACTATGTTGGCCTATTTTGTCAAAGCTTGTTGATAGCTTCAGTTTGTCACAATTCTTGCCTAGCAGTCGTTATGTCTTTTTGGAAAAGGCACCGGAACCCGGATGCAGGTTTTTCATGTGGTTGCATTGCGTTGATCTTTGATTGAGGTGTATTTTCATGTTAGTACGTTTTATATTCTTCATCCAGTGGAAAGGTAAAAGAACAGGGCCCGCGACTGTCGAATCCACCTGCTCGGTGTTGCCTGGGTTATCGGCTCAACTCAACCTTAGTTGTATACAACTTTGCATGTTCGAACCGGCCACCTGCAAGAAAGATTGGTGTGTTTTTGGATGTGTTTGGGTTTCTTCTTGCGTCAAGATAGTGTGCCATCGATGACATGACCATATTGCATCGAATCATATTGTCTCATCTTGCATCATTTTGCCACATGCCCGCCATCACTGGGACCTGGAGGTTGCTGCAGGTGAGGTTGAGATCCAGGGTGGCATCTACGACCTGGAGACCGGGCATGTGGAGTTCTTGGGGGAGAGCCCAGCTCAAGCCACCTTGGTGAAATCTGGTGCTGCTCTGCCGCCATCTCTGTCATGAGTGATTTGACTTCTTGTTAACGTATGTTGTGGCTGCCAGGAGTGTATGCACGCGGATTTTCCTTTTAATTACAGTATATCACAGTCAGTTTTCAGCAGAGGAAAACAGCACTTTGAATGCCTGATATGACAAATCATTTGGCAATGCTGTTTTGCTAATGCTGCAGAATCTGCAGCATCTGGTCTTTTGCGCGGCAAGATGCGGCGTACGGGACAAACAAAACATCGACAGCGGAAGTCCGACAGAAATCCGCACATCAATCTGCTGGCTTTGAAGCTGACCAGGTCACTTCAGTTCACTCCGATCTCCTTCCGTTGGCAAGAAGCATTTGTATGAATTTAGATAATATATTTAGAATTATTCATATATATTATATATTATATTTAATTTGTAGATATATTTAGATATATGATATATTTGATAAATGATTTTAGATATATTTAGATGCTTTCAGATGCTTGAGCATACAGCATTTCAGATGCTGGCGCTGTTGACGGACTGTCAAGAGACATTTTGGTTCAGTCAAGAGACATCAACCATCATCAACCGGTCCTATCAGCATCTCAGCCGATAGGTTCCATCATGGCATCTCCAAGCAGCCAGGGCCTTGGTGGGCTGGATGTGCCATGTAGAAAAACATGGCGGTAACCGGTGGGACAGCGATGTTGTCACTGTGCCTGTTTTGAGATGTCCCCTAGATTCCCCTAGTATTTGTTCCATGTCATGCAATCGCAGATATGTCTGATGTCATGTATCTGGGGTGACTGTCAAATCCAACTTCTAAATCTCTGGCATTCTGAGGCAGGAAAGTGCGCACCACCGCAGATGCGCCCATGCCTCCTGATGAGGCTCTGAAGCTCTTGAAGGAGGGCAACGCACGCTTCATCAAGGGAGAGCCTACCGCAACTCGAACCAACGAGAAAATGCGCCAGGAGCTTGTTGACATGGGACAGGCACCACACACTGCCATCATTGGCTGTGCAGATTCCCGGGCACCTTTGGAGACCATCTTTGATGCCCTGCCTGGTGACATCTTTGTGCTGCGCAATGCTGGCAACACCTGCACCCACGCCGAGGGCAGCATGGTTGGCAGCTTGGAGTTCTGCACCGGCAAGCTGGGTGCCCGCATGATTTTGGTGCTTGGCCACACCAAGTGCGGTGCCGTCTATGGTGCCACGAACGCCTACCTGGCGGCAAAGAAGTCTGAGACCGCCAGTGTTGAGTCTGCCCTGGAGGGTCTGCTGTTGGACTTGGCCCCAGTGGCGGAGAAGGCCGTGGCCGACATGGGTTCCCACACTGATGCAGATGAGGTCGCAGCCCACGCTGTGCGCGTGAACGTCTTCCACACTATCGACTTCTTGCTGAAGTACAGCGCCCCATTGCGGGAGAAGGTTAAGAGTGGACAGGTCGAGATCCAGGGTGGCATCTATCACCTGGACTCTGGAAAGGTGGAGTTCATGGGACGTTCTCCACAGCAGTCCACCCTTTTGAGCACCAACCTTGGGCTTCCCCCATCCATGACTCGTGAGGGTGGCCGCACCTCTGGCTATGGCCCTTCCGCACGAGGTGAGCATGGAGTGCGCACCACAGTGGACAGTGCAGTTCCTGCTGAGGAAGCTTTGAAGATGCTGAAGGCTGGCAACGAGCGCTTCGCTGTGGGTGCTCCTTTGGCCAAGCACGCCACTCTCAAGATGCGTGAAGCTTTGGTGAGCCATGGGCAGGCACCCCACACCGCAATCCTTGGCTGCGCAGATTCCCGTGTGCCAGTTGACACTGTGTTCGATGCCATGCCAGGTGACTTGTTTGTCTTGAGGAATGCAGGCAACACTTGCACCCATGCGGAAGGCAGCATGGTTGGCAGCTTGGAGTTCTGCTGTGGCAAGTTGGGCTCCAAGTTGATTTTGGTGATGGGCCACACCAAGTGCGGAGCCATTGCCGGAGCTACTGCGACCTACCTTGCCAGCAAGGAAGGCAAGGCCTCCAAGAGTGCAGGCAGTGCACTTGAGGGTCTGCTGGTGGGTTTGTCTGGCGTCGCAAAGCAGGCCGAAGAGGAGCTTGGTGTTGGCGCCGATCAGGACCAGTTGGTGTCCCACTCTGTGCGCGTGAACGTCTTTAGCTCCATCGAGTTCTTGTTGAAGTACAGCCCATCCCTCAGGGAGCTTGTGAAGAGCGGCAACGTGGAAATCCAGGGTGGTATCTACCATTTGGAGACTGGTCGAGTTGAGTTCCTTGGCCGCTCTCCCAGGCAGGCTGAATTGCTCCGCTCCGACCCAAGCTTGCCACCATCCCTCCAGGCATTGCCCATCCGCACAACAACTGATGGCCCCTTGCCATCCCAAGAGGCATTGAAGCTGCTGAAGGAGGGCAATGCTCGCTTCACCTCTGGTGCTGCAATTTCAGGAAAGATCACTCCAGCAATGAGGAAGGCCCTGGTCAAAGAGGGTCAGGCACCACACACTGCCATCATTGGCTGTGCGGATTCCCGTGCTCCTTTGGAGACTGTGTTTGATGCCATGCCTGGTGACATCTTCGTGCTGCGCAATGCTGGCAACACCTGCACCCACGCCGAAGGCAGCGTACTTGGCAGCTTGGAGTTCTGCGTTGCCGCCCTGCAGTCCAAGATGGTCTTGGTGCTCGGACACACAGCCTGCGGAGCCATCAAGGGTGCCACAGCAACATACCTGCAGTCCAAGAGCGGCAACAAGCCTCAGGCGGGAAGACTTGAACTTTTTCTCGAAGAGAAGATGTCAGAATTTGTTATAGCATACATTATTGCGCATGATGTCAGAACCACAATATATATATATCAATATATCATAGTAGTATACCTTTGCTTTCAAGCAAAATGTGCAGTCCATTTTGGCAAAGATTTCCTCGCTTGACAGTTTACTGAGCCAAAGCAAGACATGTAAAGGGCACAGAGAATCAAAGAGATGCAAGATGATTAGTTTAAGCTAAAGAAATCAATAGCAGCTAAAATTGGCTAAAATTATGCTAAGAAAGTGTCTTCTGTGAT